GAAGATCATCGCATTTTGCTTCCTTCTATTAGCTTAAGAGTACACTTCCTGTATAATTAGATTCAAGTCTTTAGTATATATGGAACATTGTTGTGGAGAACATTCTAGGTGCTGCTAGAATATGCTTGGAAAGAGATGGAAGGGGCAGTTTTCATTGGGATTTCAAAGTTCCACCCATGAAATACCCTAAAATGTCAATAAAAGACGTTTTATTCATAAATAACTGTTATGCAGTAATTTATGTCTGTACATTAATCTTGAAAAGTCTGTAGCCATCCAGATTTTTTCTTTTTTTTGCAAACTCTACATAAAACATCCAAACTGTCCATTTTTTTCAATACAATATAACACAGCTGTTTGGCATTACCAAATATATATGTATAGATATTTATAGATATGTACATGTGTTGAAAAAGAAGCCAGTGCAGCCTTTTCTAAGAAGTCCATCCAAGTATTTACTGTACAACATTCAAAATTTACATTGATAATACAAGGCACAAAAAGTGTGGTATGAAGCCAAGGCCATGCTTTATTCAAACTCCCCTCTGGCTTGCTTACTTCTTCAGCTTCATGTCAAATTATGTGTTCAGCCCTGCTCTTTTTTGGCATTGAACACATCAAATAAAAGTGGAGAGTGGGATGGTTTTGGGATATGAATCATTTGAGAGAACTCTTCACCCCCACATATCTTCCAAAAATGAACAGAACAAAATGAAATCTTTAAATTCTTGAATGCAGAAATGGAGGTAAACAATTAAGTTGTATCTTTTGCTCTTATGTCAGAAAAATGAATCCGTTTTCTTCTAAATGTTTATGTTTGCAATATATTGAGGTTGAATTTTCCTGAATTGCACGTATCAACCAGATACAATCATGAACAATGGGGAATTTTAAGTAAAATTTTTTATTCTAATTTAGAAAAGAAGAAAATTGTTTCCCTGGCTAGAAAATTCTGATAAACTAAGTTTTTCTTACCCTCTTTCAGAGGAGTTTTGAATAGGAATGGCTTCCATAACCTAGGACCAGTGAAGGTGAATCATTCCAATTTAAATTGTTTAACTACTATCCTCTGAAGAGGCTTTGTTTTATATATCCTGATACACGGTGATTTGCCGTAAGCCTCATCAGAATTTGCTAATGGAGGAATACTAGAATTATTAGATCTATTTCTAATTAATGTCTGTGTTTCAGAAATGGGTTCATAAGGCATAATATTCAAACTTGCAAACTCCCTTCATGATTCTTTCTTTGCATGATTGCAACAGACGTGCAGTTAAATCTTTACTTATAATAGACATACAAATTTAAAATAATTTTCCAATTTTTCGAATTTGGAGAATTTGCATGTAAATAATGTTTGAAAAAGTAAAATGCTTTTTTTTTGAAGTTGGCAAAAATTAAGGCATAGAACTTTTTCATTTTGGTAGTGTCTTTTTTTTTAAGCATATTGACATATAATGCCACTCACTCAAGAAATTATATCCCCAAATTTAGTGAGATCTTTCATAATTCAACACAGTAACTCTTTGAAGAAGGGTGTACCCTTCCTGGAATTCAACGTTAAGGGTGGGGGCAGGACACTTTAAGCTTAGGAGGCCTCAACATGAAGCTTACTGCCTTATATCTTTGGGTTTAGGTGGAAGGTGGGTTTTAAGACATGAAGTTTAATGTTACTGTCTTAAGTCCACCTTGTGAGGACTTCCAAATCCATGATCTTCACAGCAAAAGGAAAAAGCAATGAGTAGCTGCTTCAAAAACCACAATTATTCTATGTGAGTTAAATTTCCTACTTCAGATCACAGTACTACACACTAGAAACTAAACGGGCCAGGTCTGATTTCCATCCCCTTTTGTTTTTCAGAAGAGTACAGTATTCATTCAGAATACCATTTGGATTGTGTTACTGAGCCTGGCGTGGGGGATGTGGAGTCCAAGGTAGACACTGGCTCTCCTAGAACTGCTTTTGTAAAAACACCACATGCTGTCAATACAGCCAAGTAGATTTATAACTGCAGCTTTTGAAAGAGTTTGAGAAGTGAAAACACAAAATATGCAACACATCTAAGATTAGTAACATTTTCACTTTTGTGACATTGGACAAAATACATTTCGGCTTGTAGTTCAGGAAAACTCTATGCAGACAAAACAGTGGAAATTGCAGAAACGGTGGCCATTCCGGTTTTGGCTAAAGCATCAATTTTCAAATACAGCACTATGGCAACTAACACCAAAGAGCTAATAAAATTTTGTCTCTATCTTTAGGACTACATTTGGCTCTCCCATTTGCTGTGGATGACATCTCTAGTCCAGTACATGGGAATTACTAAAGAGTTGGAACCTCGTAATGTTTCATGAAGAAAAAAGAATTTAAATGGGCCACATAAAGGGCCAGAGAGGCACGTTTTCAGCTCCTTCACAGTTCCTATGACCTTCAGAGAGCTGGAACAAAGACCTCTGACAGAACTTTACCTTTCAACACACCTGAAAGCTATATTATTCAAGACATTTACAGGGGTAGCAAGGCTAAGAGATTGAAGAGAAATGGCTAAAAGGGAACAACAGACACACTGAAAGATTTTTATAACACTTTAAAATTTACAGGTAAATTTTCCAGAAGTTTAGTAAGTGGAGAATACTATCTAAGAATAAACAATGATACCATTTTGATAGTTTAGCTTTTTTTATATACCCTGATGTTGAGAATTGCTATCAGGGAAAATTGTTGCAATCAATTCAGAATTTTTAATCCAAAGAGAAACCCTGTTTTAGTGATTGGACGTAACATCCTCTCTCTAAGCCAACTGAAAGGACACTATTAGGACTACAGAAAAGGATAACATCTGTAGTTGATCATAGAAAATTAAAAAAAAAATATATAAAAAGAGCAGTCCCCATTTTTAAGAATCACGTCAATTCTTTTTCGTTTCTTACAAAAAGGCTAATAAAATTTTTGTGAGAGTACATCTGAGTTTTATGAGACTTCCTGCACCAGTAAATGAAGATTGCATTTAAATCCATATAGCGAACTTCCTTTTGGCTTAAAGAATTTTAATGTAAACTAGTAAGACTGCACACTCAGAGTTGTAAAAACTATAAATTAATTTTATGATGCTGTAGGCTGGTGAAGTTATGGAGTTCACGATTTTGGTGCCATAAATTTTAAGTCATGTTTAAAGCAGGACTATTCAATTTACATGCCTTTAAGGATTGAAAGATTTGGCATGTAAGTGAGCCTTTTGGTAAAAATTTTCAGCAGCCCACCAAGTATGAATATTTTGGTTCCCTTTGCATTGGGACAAGAAGACATTAAATTTAAATGTTCAAATGGATCTTTTTTAAATAAAATTATAACAGTAAGCAAGTAGAAAATAGAACAAATGTTTAAACGATAGTAATTAGTGAGAAAAATCAAACGTGGGCTAAGTCTTTATCTAATTTGGAAATATACTCTCACTCAAGTATTTAATCTTAGAAAAACATGGGTTCTCTTTAGGATAATACTGTAATAATTTTACAATGGCCACAGAATTTAATATGCTTGTCTTGAACGCCTCTATGTAATTCTACAAGAAACAATAGAGAAATGTAAAGAAGGACCATAATGAACTTAAAAATGGATTTAAACCTTGGGCTGAAATCAGAGATGAATCATATTTCCTTTGTTACCATATATGATACCATGTTCACGTGTATTTTAAAAGTTCATATATATATTAATATATAAGTATATATATTAATATATACAATTCATATCAGTGATATAAAACAATTTATACTTTCATAGTTTATATTATCCCCTAATAGGAATAATCATGTTGAGCACACTAGCAAAAGGATGTTATCTTGATCTAGATATGGTGTTTTGAAAATATAGTTGAAAGTTCTTAGGAGATTTCTTTGTTTTATACAAATAAGCCTTTGGTTCCTGAGAAAAGAAAAAAAAAATTAACTTCGTTTAGCAAAATCTCCTAACTAATACTGGCACCATGTATACCACATATTAGTTAGAAACAATGGCCAATGCATTCAAGAGTTTTTCAACTCATCATTTATGGTATCATAAATTCATCCTGCCTCTAGGTTTTTCTTTTTTTCACTTTGGTGGAGATTAATAACATTTTTAACAGGACACAAACAAAAAACATTGTTTTAAAGTATCTATCATATCTCCATTGTTAAATTCTCCCCACCTCTTCAAATACTTGTCTACTTTTATTCTATTCTAATGTAGCCAACCTCTAAGTAGCTATTTTGATGCCTTGTGGTTAATCTAGGTCTTCGATTTTGGTTGTCTTTAAGTTGGACAACTAATTATAATATCCATCAAATCAACAGAAACAGATGTGTTATGTCCTTAGGCTATGAGGATATCTTGTCAAAATGTTCAAGAGGATTAAAATTTGGATTAGAGGGTTGATATGAAGGCCATGAGTTATTTGTGGATTTCCATGTGCCATAATATCCCTGCTTCTTTTTAAAATTATAATCATAATGCAGTATCTCTGTTAATGGTCCTAGAGAGAAAACATTCTTGGTAATGTTGAGTAATCAATGATGGGCAACTCCCTGAACAATGGCTCAGTTTCTGGAACAGTTTATTAGAGGTATTATTCCTCACTTCTATTTGGTTACCATTAGGTACTTGGATACCATTTATAGCAAAGAATATTTTTCTGAGAGGCAAGAGAAGAATAACATGTAGCCCTACTGAAAGATTTTGTGATAAAATAATACCAAAAAGTTAGGTAATTTCAGGAACTTGGATTTTAAAGTTTAGCAATATCACTCATGCCATAATAAGAACAATGTTAGGGAACAGGGCTGACACATGTCTTAAAATCTGAGGCTTGTGATCTCTGCAGTTCATGGACTGCAGTTTCTTGGACCTGATTTGACCTCTCCTTTCACCAAGTCCATGTAATATGATGTGTTCTAATAATATGTCCTTTGATTGGTTACTGGGAATAGAAATGGCCCTGTTTTAACAAGTTAGAAGTAAATATTCACATTGGAAGTTCTAAATACACTACTTGTTCCAATTGTCCCAACTGCTGCAATGGGTGAGGAAGGGGCTGAACGAATATAGATCAATTTATCTTAGAGAAAATGAAGGTGGGGTGCACTTCAAGAACTTGTTGGTTGTCGTCTTTCCTACCTTGATCTTTTCTTAATTAGGTGGCAGGATAAACTAGGAATTGGTGCTGGTGTAACATACTTAGGTTCTAAACACCCTCATTCTCTGCTTGATGTTGCTGAAATCATACAAGTGAGTTAGCAACCTAGTTACACTTCTGCAAGCAAGTTTGACAATGATTCCCAACATTCCAGATACCAGTTGGTGGAGAACTCTGATAATTTGGTATCAGAATCTACTGGTCCTTTTGGGTACATCATTAAAAGCCTGTTTCTAAACATGCACTTATTCAGTGTTTGCTTTCCCAGGTTTATTATAGCTTATCTTTACCCACAGCTACTTTTACCTAGATATGTCTCTTGCTTTTATCCTTGCTACTCTAAATCTGAGTTCATCAAATGTTAACCCAAGTGTGGATTTAGAGGGAACAGAGGAGCCCCTAAAATTGAAGGCAGCTGGCACTCTTCCTGTTAACAAGTTTTACCTATATAAAATTCAATTTCTTCAACCAAGGATTCTCACTGATTGGAAATGAAGGCTGAATTTCCCAAATGCCACTGGGCAGAAAGCTGCCTCTTTCTTTCCCATTTAAAGCAAATGTCCTGAAGCTGGTCATCACATTGTCTCAGGAGAGGAAGCGAACTAGAGTCCATTCTGCCTGCTGTAGTTGAAGTCAGCTTCATCGAGCTGGGATTCTGTAATGTTTGAGAGTTTTGTGTGTGTCCTCCCAATCTCTTCAAGGGCACAGGCCAGGGAGTCAAGATCACCATCATGTTGATGACGAGCTTCCCACAGGTTCAAAATGACAGCTGATGGGCTACTTTGTGTAGCAAAGTAAGATAAATTCCTAGACAAAGAAAATTAGACAAAGAGAGAAAAAAAACACTCCATGAGAACAAAAATTAAAGAACAAATACAAATCACCATAAAGCCAACTCAAAACCATTACATTGGTTTGATTCTACTTCATAATAACCATATAGCACAGATAAATGCCCCCACCCCCCGCAGGGTTTCTGAGGCTGGAAATCTTTATTGGGGAACATTGGTGATTTAGTGGTAAGAAGCTGCGCTGTAACCTTGAAGGCCCACAGTTTGACTCAAACAGCTGCTCTGCCAGAGAAGGATGGACAATCTCCTCCCATGCGATTGACCACCTCTGAAAACCCACTGGAAGAAGAGTCAGCTATGAGTCAGTTCCAACTCAGTGGCACACAAATATAGCATTTCTTTATTGAAGCTGACTGCCACCTCTTTGTCCAGTGAAGTGGCTGGTGGGTCCAAGCTGTCAACACTTTAGTCAACAGTTGACTGCTTTCACAACTTTATCACAAGGGATCTAAAAGTAACAACAAAGTATTAAAACTGCATTTTAGTGGATGCTATTACTATAAAATAGAAAGATGTAGACAGTTTCATTTTTATCACAAAATGCAGCTAAAAAGTATTCTTTACAGTATGGCCTTCTTATGCTCTAAGTCCTCACTGTCCTTGAGTTCTTTGTGTGTGTTAACTGTGTCTGTATGCATATTGCCCATTTAGCCATCCACTTCTTGCTACTTCTTCACCTTTCCCTTCGTAAACATAGGGATATCCAAGTTTATCTATGGTTCCTTATTCTTTCTTTCCTTCTTTTCTGGGCTTATATACCAGATAGAGGAGTTATCAACACCAAATAGATAATGGGTAAATCTGCATATCTATTCTCCTAAATTATCTAGAGATAGTTACAGATCACTAATAGTTAGAAACGGAATTATTTCAATTAGATGTTCCTTGACCTTTTCAAACTTGGCTTTTAACTATACCAATTATTCCATGAATTAGAACTTTATACTAACTTCTCAGTTTAGGAAAGATTTTTTATTCTTATCTCTGTTGATTCAATATTTATACTCATCAAATTAACCCTTTTATTTTCACCAATAATACTAACACCTAATTTATATTCTTAACACTCTATTGCAGAAATCACAGTATGAAATGAATAGCTTTTTAAGTTTGGCAATTCTGTGCCCAAGGTCCACTGTGCTATATGTCTATCAACATTACATTTCAATATCTTTCTGAGTCTAACTTCAAGATAACTGTAACAATAAAAAACATTGTTTTCCTCAGTCTTCTTCCATTATAAACCCTGATTTAATTAAACACTGACTTCTGATTTCATTCCATCTACTCTCCTCAGTGGAGTTGTCCACATCATCCCTTTACTCTTTATCAAGTTTTTATACTCCTTTAGCGATGAGTACACTTCTCTTCTTTGCTCAAAATGATATGTCATTTCTGAGTTCTTCAAATGCTTATCTGGAAAATTCTATATGACTAAGTGAGTACATATTTCATGTAAGAAATCTTGGCCTTTCCAATGAGACTCCACACTCCTGGAGGGCAAAAATTATGTTTAATCATTTTCTCAAACTATTGGAGAACTTTTCATAAAATTTGACATCTCTGGCAGGCATTTCTTCACAATTCATCTGTTAAGGAAGTTATTACTATTAGTATTTTTCAGATATAGAAACTTCAGTAAAAAGAGAAAAAGTGATTTTGGGGACCAATGATTTAATATGATGAAAATAAAGATCTCACAAAAGATTAAACTCTTTTGTTGTTTTTTTTTTTCCCTTTTTTTTAGGGCAGGAGGGTACTTTTACAGTAGGAACAGAAATGTCAGTGCAGATAAAATTCTGAAGGTTTTTAAAGATTTTTCAGACTCGACTAAGATTTGGCTGTTTTCAGGATGGCACTACTTTCAGTATTAAGAGAGTCAGGCAGTCACAAAGTGACCTCCTGTAGGGAATAATGCAGTGAAAGAATCTTTTTAAAGAGAAAAGTGACCTGGGAGTGGAGTGGTGGTGTTGGGAGGTTACTGTACAACAATGAATGAATGGAAATCCAAGTTTTCTGTTAACTTTTGTGAAAATATCAATAAAAGAATTTTTGTTTTAAAAAAAGCAAGCTTTTATAGTACAACATCAAATAGCCAAAGATTGCAACTTTGTCAGCTACACCATGCCATCTCCTGACAGGAAAGACCAGTCCTGACAATGTACAATGTGTCAGGCTACTAATTGTAAAGTTGGTAATTTTAATCCATCAAGTATTTCATCAGAGAAAGATGGACAGTCTCTTTCATAAAGAGTCACAGCTTCAAAAACCTGATTGAGGCTCACTAAGAAGAAAAAAAAAAAAGAAGAAGATAACACCAGGTTGTGCCAAAGATCTGGAGGACAACCACTTGGCTAACTGCCTGGAAGAGATTCATATTTACTTCCATTGCAGAAAAAAGGTGACCTAACAGATTGGGGAAATAATTAAGCAATATCACGAATATCACACACAAGTAAAATCTTGCTGAAGATCATCCAAAAATGATTGGGATAGTACATCAAGAGAGAACTACCAGAAATAGAAGCTGAGTTTAGAAGGCCATGGTACTGGGGACTTAATTGCCAATATTAGATGGATCTTGGCTGAAAGCAGAGAGTCCCAGAGGAATGTCTATCTGTGTTTCATTGACATGCAAAGGCATTTGTGTGGATCACAGCAGCTTGTGGCTAACCTTGAGAAGAATGGGAATCCCAGACACCTGATTATGTTCATGTGAAACCTCTACTTGGACCAGCAGGCAGTTGTCAAAACAGAGTAAGGAAACATTGGATGGTTCAAAATTAGGAAAAGAATGCATCGGGAACGTGTCCTGTCTTTATACCTTTTCCCACCAATATGAGGAACAGATCATTTGGAAAACTGGACTTTACAAAGGAGGAATCAGGATTGGAGGAAGACTCATCAACAACTTACATTATGCAGATGGCACAACCTTGCTCACTGAAACTAAGGAGGGCCTAACACATTTGCTGTGGAGGGTCCAGGACTGTAGTCTTCAATGTGGTTTGAAGCTCAAAATCAAGAAGACAAAGATTCTCACCACTGGACCAATTGTCAGCATCATGATAGATTAAGCTTGTTTGGTTTCACAATCAACTTTCCTAGCACCAGAAATCAGGAGATAAAAAGACAAATTTCATTAGGGAAATCTGTCAGAGACCTCTCCATAGTGCTGAAGATCAATAATGTCAGTCTGGAGAATAAGGCGCACCTGATCCAGGTTATGGTCTTCATAATTACTTGTTATGCATCTGAGAGCTGGACAATAAATAAGGATGAGAGGAAAGGAATTGATGCCTTTGAGCTGTGATATTGGAAAACAGCACTGAATATGCTATGGATAACCAAGAGAACAAACAGATGTGTCTTGAAAAGGGTGCAACCAGAGTGCTCTTTGGAGACAAGAATGATGAGGCTCTGCTTCATTTACTTTTGGGCATGTTGCTAGGTTGTGCTATTCCTTGGAGAAGGACATGATGCTGGGAATGTTGGAAGAGTAGGCGAAAGAAAGGAAGACTCTCAACAAATTGGATTGATACGGTGACTGCTGCAATGGGCTCTAGTGTGTCAGGAAGTGTGAGGATTCTGAACAGGATTCAGATCTTCTGTTCATAGTGTAGCTGGACTTGATGGCACCTAACAACAACAACAGTGATATCTATAGAATATACAATTCATCAACAATAGTTATATCAATTAAAACTTTATAAGTCGTTACATAGATTGATATATGTATATGCTATATATGTATATAAGTATATATGTGGGATGGTGCAGAAAAATACATGTGTGCATTGTGTGACTATTGCACATACAAATATGCATATTAATACAAATAATAGAGCACATAAAAATGCAGCTATGGAAATTTTGCAGATATAGCCAAAAACTGTATTTGACTTAATGAGTTTGAAGGCTCAGTGTCACTGTCTCAAAGAACATCTGAGTCAACTAGAATAACATATTTCATATAAACAAAGTTCTAAATTATAGCTTAATGAGTAGCATATGAACTTTGGAAAGCTTGTAGGTGTGATAGGACTATTAGTCTCCTCTAATCTAGAGTAACAGATAGTACTAGAAACTAAAGAAACAAGGGAGAATCCCTTTATGGGCTTAATGACCTACATTAACTTTATCAAGCCTGAAACAAGAACTAGATGGTATCTACCACTACTAACTGCTTTGAACAGGAATGTGATAACTCTGGTTAGAATGGGATAAGAACATAGAAAAAATTCAAATCCAAATAAAAAGGCAAGATTTAATGCCTTAATAGGGATCAGTTGTTGGTATGTGTCCTGGAGTCAACTATAACCAGGGATTGGAAGAACCCTCAAAACTCTTACCCTCAGGTACCTTTTGAATCTGGAATTTGAGTCACTCCCAGATGTCATCTTTCAGTAGATTGATCGATTGTAAATGATACTATTCATAAAGACTATGACCATGTGGAACTATGTTGTTGTTGTTGTTGTTACATGCCGTCGAGTCACCTGCGACTTATAGCGACCCGATGTACAACAGCCCTAAACTCCGCTCTGTCCTGTGCCAATCGCACTGTCTCCGACACTCCCATCCCAATT